GCAGTGAGACCTGTCACGAAGGATTGTGAACGAACGTTAGTTGCTGAAATCACGGTGGAAAGAACGACATGAGGAACATACCATCAACAGCCAGACGCAGTGCCTTGGGATCCATCCCGTCCAGAATCACGTGTGCACGGAGAGTGCGATTTACTTGGAGGAGGCGGGTGTTGCGATCTTGCTGGTTCTCGAGGACCTTGAGCGTGTCGTTGTCGACGTACTTGCCCTTGAAAAGCTTGACCAAGAGGGGATGAAGTTGGCGAGTCTGTTCGGTGCTCGCGCCAATCGAAGACTTGTACACTTCGCGCTCACGGGCCAGCTTCTTGTTCAAGGTGGCGATAAACGCGTCCCGCGCTTGGACCTCGCAGTGCAGACGATTCAAGTCCTCTGTATGTTGCTCCATGGTGGACTGAACACTCGCGAGCAGGGCATCGTTCTTGACGTTCGACTCGCGGAGAATCTTGATATCCTTGCGAAGAGCTTCGACTTCGGCGTTGGCAGCCTTGAGGTACGCCTCCGCGTTTTCCCGAGCCATGATTTCGGGTGCGACCAAACGTACAGCGGCAGCAGCCTCGGTCTGGGCGGCCCGCAACTGACGCTCCAGGCTGATAACTCGGTCTGGCAACGCCGACAGCGCATCGGGAAGCGGCTGTACGGCGGCGAGGACTTCGTCAAAGCCCATGGCGGTCTAGAAAGGACGTTGAGTGTGGAAATCGCCGTGAAGAGGAGGCGCAACGTTGAGCTGCACTTGATGACGAGCCATCGCAGTCAAGTACGGAATAATCGAGGTCTTCATCTGATCGACCGACGCCTCCGTACTCTCAGCCAGCATGGCGCGCAACGAATCCTTGGTGAGTGGTGGAGGACCACCAGCAGTCCCAGGCGGACCAGCAGGAGCCATTCCCGTGGATTCAGTGATGACAGGAAGTGCCGCAGGAGCTGCAGCAGGGAGTGAAGAATCCGGGGCAGGAAGCGTCAGAGGTCCAGCTGACGACGTTGTCGTCGAAGGAAGTGTGGCAGGCTGAGAGGCGTTCGAAACCTCGGTGTCGCCCTCCTGAGAAACAAGACGAGTAGTGCACGGTGATGAGCAAGATGCCGATGATCCAAGAGGAAGATGAGTTGAGTTACCTCCAGCTGTTCACGTTCACGTTGTCGGCAAGGATTAAGACGCTGGAGCGCGTTGTTCACGGCCCGATTCAAGCGCTTGGACATGCTGCGACTGGAGGTGAATTGGATAATAAAGAAATGTCACAACGGGCACCAGTACCGTGGCTTCCATTGCGACAGGGGCAGTTGTGGTGAAGTGATTTCTCCAGATAATCGCAGATCGACAAAGATGCGGCACCGCCCAAGATGTTCAAGCGACGAACCCTCGGTCATGTGATGTACAGTGACTCCAAGGTGCAAGAGACTCGACGGCGTCACTACCGAACTTTCAACGGATATGGGATACGGTCCATATGTCACTGAATCCAGGCTGTCCTTATTATTAATAATGGACTGGCCGGATTCGCATTCAGCGGCCAAGAACTGACCATCTACGGTACGAACCCTCGGTGGCGGTTGGGATGAGTTCGCGGAAAACTCAGCGACCCTTTGAAGGCACGTGCGCCGTCTGGGACAGGGCGCGAGCCGTTAAAGATGCTCATGCGACTGTGCAGACGACGCTTGGCGTGCAAGAAGATCCATAACGGATCATTGTTCACTTGATATTTGTATACTTGATTAGGACTTCTTATTAGGAATAGACCCGAAAAGGTAAACATAAATACAGAACAGAATTTCTACTCAAACACACAGAACGACGTCCGGCTTCAAGGTAAGCGTCTGGTCAAGCTTGTTTGAGTGTGTTATGCCTGTCGGTGAGCTCAAAGCTCTGTAGCGGGGGCTCATCCGGCAAGGCCAAGAGACTGTGTCTTTTGGCCGATTACTATCGGGAGGTTTTACGTGACGGCTTATTGTTGCCTATTTGCACGACTGGGATTTCTTGTATTGCATCCCTTTTATTCTTCCAACCGAGTGTTGAACACTCGGTGCCCTCATAAAAGGCTTACCCGTGCCTGGTACCCTTCCTCTGTTGGGACCACGAGGATTCATAACACCTGCTAGCTTTACTCGTGCTAGTAGCGTGTTCTTATTTTTACTGGTTGGCCTATATAGGTAGTTTACAAGATCCAGTCTGTCCCGGTGCAAGGGCAGAACTGGGGTCTTCAGGTCCGCTCGAACGATCGTTTTCTATCTTAGTAGACGTATTGTTGTGGGAACGTCCTAACTACATTTGTAGCTAGAGTTCACGTGGGAATTCCAACACCACACTACAGTGATCTTAAAGAACCAATGACGCCGGTGAATCGCTTGGTAAACCGCTATGTGGCTAACTTTATATACCCCAAGTCAAACTACTGCCAAGTATTCCTGGCAAAGAGAAAGAGCGACGCGGCCAAGAAGTTTCAGGAGGTCCTCGTTGAGTTCGAAAACGCTTTGACTGCAGAGTGTATGTGCTTCGCACCGATGGGGGGGTACCGGAATGTCGATTTGTAATGCAAGGAAAACGAAGTGGCTAGGCAAGTGACAGAGGTAAACAACCAAGCCGCGAACGGAAAAGCTGAAACGATGCATCGTACTATACTAAATATGGTGCGCTGCATGTTCTTTGACGCTGAGATGTCGCCCGGTTTCTGGGGGGACGGAGCACTGTATGCTGCGTACATCCTTAACCGCAGTCCGTGCAAAACAATTAGGGGCGGCCATCGCCTCTACAAATGCTCATGGGACAGGTACCTGACCTGCGTGAGATTGTGCTCTTCGGCTCCAAGTGTACTGTGTTCCGTGCTCCAGGGAAACGGTCCAAGAAAAAACGCGCTTGCGAAGGCGTAATTGGGGTAAAGATGATTCCACGTAGGGTTACAAGGTGTATCTGCCCTCTGAATGAAAGGTTATCACGACGCGATACGTGCAGAACATCTCGACGGAGGAGAAGACATCAAACGCGGAGCCGACGAAGACGCTGGTGAGTGCGGCTACCGAGAACGGAGCGACTGAACTCAGTTCAGTTCAAGCGCCACGGCAGCTGGCGGAGCCTCGTCTGTCTCGTCGCAAGAGGCGGAAGTCGTGTCGACAAGCAGAAGTGGATGGCGACGTTGCGGCTGGAAATACAAGACCGCGTGATCCGTAGCTAGCCTTAACAGCGACGGACCCGGACAAGACGAAAGCTCACGCAAATGATCCCGAGCCAAAGAATTACAATCATGCGCGACGATGCAGTGAGAGCTTGCTGTGAGAGCTGAACAAGAGGAACTCGATGCCTTGAAACGTGGACTTTAGTCAAATGGGACCGAAGTTCGGTGCGGCTGTACACCAAATGGGTGTATAAGAAGAAACACACGGGTGCAGACCTAATTGAGCGATACAAGGCCAGACTGGTGGTGTACGGAAATGAGACAGCCCAAGATTCCAGTCAAGCACCTCAAACAAGATCACTCAAAGAGCAGATTAGCCCACCGACGGGTATACAAGGTGAGCGCAGAAATTTTACGGAAGATCCCTCCGCTAGTCGGCAGTTAGGGCGCCGTGTGCAAGAGGACCTCAGTATCAGCTACTTTCCCAGAGCGAGGACTATTTTGTACCCGGACAAAGTAGTTATTGCCTGTAAATCGAAATCTAAGTCCTTGAAGTTCTAAATACTTAGCTCGACTCCACGGAAATGACCACACATCAGTGTATAATACATTATATATCGACAATAGAATTTCCAGGGCTCATAAAATGCCACACGGTAGTAAGCGAACCTGAGAATCATGTTTTTTTTTTCTCGGCCGGTGAAAAGTGGTCGAATATGGAGTTTCAATCCAACAGCAAAGCAATTAGCAAAAAAACTATCAAAGTTTGGCGCTGTTTCCTTATGAACAAATGCACGGCGACGGGGGATGTTTGTCCATATTTTCCGACAAGCAGAATGGATAATGTCGGTTCTTCGTGTGTGCCCCGTCAGCATTTGTTGAGCCTGATGAATTGCTCTAAAAAACATAGCGGTACGTTTACGTTATTCACAGTCTGAGCGGGGGCTGCTATGCACGACGAGCGCAGATTAAACCTTCTCCTTTGAAGCCTGAAAGGTCTACCACCAGCTGAAAAAAACACTCACCTACGAAATCGCGAGTGATTAGGCTGCATATCATCTATAAACCGAGCCTTAGGTAGGCTGAAGGCAAGTTTAAAGTTCGAACACGTTGACTCTGCCTTTTTGGTTTTTGATATTTGCCATTGACATGGTTGTTGTGATTTGCAAACCCAGACGCTTTTTTGTGCCTCGGCATGACCCTGTCTAATGGACTTGTTCTCACTAAACGCGTACCCACGCAGAGCCTTTGTGCTGTCGGGTGCCAATGTAAGCACGCCATGCTTATGAATTGTATCACGACAATTCTTTGAGAAGAGATTGATCTTGCCCGCCTTGGAATGCCGCTGATAAACGAGCGTAACCACAGCGAACACAATGCGTCTATCCTTAACCTCAACACCTTGATTTTTTTCTTTAAGGACAAAAATAGAACCAAACGTTGCGTTCTGGCCTGGCAGCAATACATGGTGTCCCTTGTACGCGGGGTATGCATATCATATTGTATACCAAATTTTTTCACCAATAGCAAATCGTGTCAGTTTTTTTCTTGATTCTAGGAAATTAGAAATGCAATCTAGCTAGAAGTTAAAAAAGGGCTACTGACAAACGAGGTTAGTTGAAGGAGGATCTGTTATATCATACAGTTCGCACTTAAACTGTAGCGCAGAACCCTCCTTACAAACTTTAAGTCGTTTTTATCCGACAGACTCCGTCGTACTTAAGCAGTTTTTAATCCTTTCTTCTAGGGCTGGGGTTAAGTACTTGTTTTTCTTACCATTCCTTATGCACAGCTTTAGCATTTTGTTTTTTGGTCAGCATGAGATTATCACAGCTTGGTGAATTTTGTGTGCCCCACATATCCCTAACTATTTTGCAGGGAGAATCAGACTGAAGAAGTCGAGGAAGCCAGGTCAATCAACATGCAGGACGAGAAGGAAGAGAAAGAGTACGTGTTCGTGTTGACGCAGAAGCTGGGCGAATCGAGCACCTGTCACGTCTCGCAAGAGATAGTGACGTCCCAGACAACGGCGGCGTCGGCCACCACGTCGTCTTCGGATGAGAGCGCGACGTTTGGCGACTCGGACGCAGAGGAGGACGATGATGACTCGGTGGAGCTGGACCAGATGCCTGTGGCCATGCCCTTCCTTCCAGAGCTGGACGCCTCCACGCAGATCACAATCCACGACGGCTATAGCGAGGCGATCATGGACGCTCAGCATGCACTGGACTCGCGTCTATTGGCGTATTCGCAGTACCAGCAAATGGTGAGACGTAATGCGGACTAGCAATACGATAACCCGAAGACTAACACTCTGACTGTTGTGTCTGATGCAGGCCCGGCCGAAGCAGGTGCTGCTAACGCCGAGAAGACCCAAGACAGAGCGATTCGTCATGACGGCTAGACTCGCCGTTGTAGACCGCCCTGTGACCGTGTGTATGGGCTGGCAGCGTGTGTCCAACATTGACTCAAGCAGCCGCGATCTACTGCGTATGCTGGAGGAAGATGGCGTGTCGTATGAGCCGCATGACACCGCCTACAGCGTAAAATATCTGGCTCCTGTGCTGCCATTCGGCGACTGCCTCTTCTTGTCGATGGAGCAGCTGCTGCTGTACACGGAGGAGTGTGAGCCTCTGTCTCCCGAAGGTATTCGCAAAGTGGCTACCAAGTTCTTTCTGGCACACTACAATTCAAGCACGCCGGAGGAGAAGCAGAAGATCGACAAGGCCATCCAGAACTTGTACTTTCCAACCTTGAAAGGAGGCTGGGGCGTGAGTCCCGTTCAGACACGACGGTTTGTGGTACGTCGAAGTGACAAGAAGATGCTCCTCGACAAGTGTGCAGAACTTCAAAAACGCGGCTATTCGTGGGGAAAAGCTGCAGAAGCGGTGTACACTGAGTACGCACAGCCGATCGTGGACGCGCACTCGTACTGCGACTACATGACTGTGGGTCGAGGTGAAAACACACACTTCCTTATTGGCCTGAACTACAGCAGTCGCGGACTAATTTCGGTGGATAACGACCCGGACAACTCGCGCGTGGCGTGGGGCGATGATTTTGTGTTGGAGGCGCTGGCGACGGCGTATCAGCGAGATGTCTTCGTCGTTCTAGTGGGATGTGGCAAGATGTTCTTCCTCCCTCACCGACCGCGCGGCGACAATGGCTTAGATCAGAGTACGATCTGCCACTCAAAGGGCCACGCGCCGTGGTTTTTGCTCATGCGATTAACCGGCAGCGACCGTGGAGGAGACCATTACGAGCCGATGCTGTGCGAGCGACTGCGTGGCGACGGATCGCCGGAGTTTGGTTCGATTGGAGACTGATCCTAAGGAGCTCTCTTGCGTGTCATGCGCAAAGGCTTTCCTTCTTAACTTGCTATATAATCCACTGCTCCACTCTGATAATAATTGGTGGTGTGATGAAGAAGCGATTGTTAAGTTCTGTTCACCTTCAGTTGGACGTGCTGTGCGGATAATCTATGATCACTCCAGACAGGCTCTCCGATGTCATGCAATATACTACTCCACAGAAAATGGACCTCAATATTGAAAGGAAGCTAGGCGTAATGGCGACACAAGTTCACTTTGCGCAGGCCGTCACAGCCAGGGCCTTTTCATTATCATCTCAGGATGCCCATGACATGTTTAGCAGACAGACACGTGTTCTCAGAAGGAGAATTACGGTCGGCCACTTGCACTAGTAACCTTAGTTGCCGATGGTCTCCAGGCTCTTCTCCCACTTCTCAAGGTTGCCCGGCAGCTTCGACCACTCATCGAACTCGTCATCAAACAGCGACGGGATGGACGTCGAGGACGAGCTCGAGCTGGACGCTGTACAAAAAACGCAGCAGCGCCGTAAGAGTTAGCCCTTTCACTAGTAGACTTTTAGTTGCCATCCAGGCGGACGTACGGATGACGATCTCCTCCTCTTTCTTCTTCGAGGGCTTGAGCTTGAACAGCATAATGAGTGTCGTGTAAGCACCTAGGGTGGCCAGCACAATCTGATAATAGCAGCAGTAGCGCATACATCGTCAGTGACTAAAAGACCCAAGGATCCTCCATACTATATGTAAACGTACGTGGTAGTCTTCCGGCAGGTAGTGGCGGACCTTGGCCTCCAGGCTTCCCTCGGGAGGGGCCGGGCCGTGGCTCATCAGACGCGACTGCGCGGGCGTACGGCGACCAGCAGCGGTCGCCACTTTCTTCACAAGGCTCAGCATCTTATCAGCAAATTGTTCCTTAAGCTTTAAGCGACTACTGTTAGGGGACCACACGGTCAAACGAGAGGCGGGGACACTGCTACAACATGATTGGCTAAAATCACATTTTCATACTTTAGTAACAAGCATTGCCTTTTAAATCAAACCTAATTGGGGTCTCATAAATTACCCTACGAATGAACTATGGGTCCGCCGCTGTTACGCGGTGTCGACGGCGATAACAACAAGCATGCCTGCGTCTGCTGCTTCGTTCGAAGAGACGACAAGCTTTTGAGGAGGTGGAGGTGGCTGATTACGGTTGATCTCGTCTTGCCAGTGCGCCAGGTTGGCGTCCAGCTGGGTCATGCAATGACCCAGTCGTGCACTGGGCAGGTGACTTAACGACAGGAAGAGTGGCCGCACGATGCCAATCATGAAACCAGCCTGCATCTTCTCGAGAGGAATGGGATGCTCGCGATCGTAGCCGATACTCACGGGCAGCAGCAGCTTGCGCTCCTTGTCACCCTGCTGGTAGAATTCCTGCATGATGCGCTCGGTCCAGATGAGGTAAGTGCGCAGCGACTTGGTCGGGTTGGACACGTCCGCGGCGTGCAATGCCATCTGCAACACCAAACGATCGTCCTCCGGATCGGCACCTTTCCATCCTTCGTCAGTTGCTCTACAGTACCACGAATCCCCCATAAGACCGTCAGGAAACGGTTACGTTGCAAGGTGAAAGCAATGCTGACTTACCTTCGCACAAGGTTTTCAAGCTTCCCCAAGTACGCGGAATGTACGCTGTTGTCGGTGGCTAAGACCATGTCCGTAATCAAATTACGCACCTCGAGAGATAGCAAGGAGGTCAGTTTTTTCTTCTTCTTTTTAATGTGGAGGCAATGGTTGGTGCTTACCTCGTGCTGCTCGACCTTTGTGAGGCCCTGTAGAATATTGCATTGTGGATCCTTCATCAACTGGAAAGCCAATGCACAGTGCATGTGCTCTAGTGGAGAGCGATACACGTATCTTACGGCCAAGTCGTCGTTGACCGTTATGTGAAAATTGTTGCTGTAGCTTGTATGGCCCTGGAGTCGACGTACATGTACGTGTGTGAGACTACACTTTGGTGCGTAAGCCAATAGCGCGATACTTACGACATCGTGCACTATGGCTGCCAGGAGTGCTGTGCATTTGATTCGTTCGGTGAACAAGCCTCCCAGATTTCCGACGGATAGAAAATGGTGCAAAGTTTGTGTAACATCTGCTGCGTGCTCGGCTGCACTCGAAGCAAGACACATGTGTTAATGACGTCCCTATGCACTGGAGCTTTTACATTGACGCTACCATTGTGATACGGGTGGGCGTGGTACCTGCGCTGGACACTGCGAAGAGTTGACAAGAGTTATATTTGAGAAACATGCCATGCCTGTTGAGAACGTACTGCCGCAACAACGATTGGACGCGCGCTTTGGATGTCCTGAAGTGACAGCAGAATTCATACTGCTCCAGTAGTGCATTTCCGACGATGCACAGTGATTGACCCGGAACTGCCGCCGCAATCTACGTGAAACAAAAAAAAATCATCAGAACCAGCCAGCTTGTAAAAGCTTCAATGCCACAGCAGCAGCGTACAGCAAAGACATCGAAATTCCACGAGTCGATGCTGGCAATCTCGTTCTGCACAGCGAGTACGATGGATGGATTCGTGATTTCGGGGCAGACTTCAATGGAGAAGCGTCGGCGCTCGTCTTCCTTCTGCTTCATGACTCGCGCTACGGCTTCTCCCCAACGACGCGCGGCGGTTCCTTTGTCGTCGCTGTTGCTGTCTTTCCCACCGTGGTCGGACTGATACATTGCCAGCAAACAGCGACGCAGCATACTTGTACGACGCAGCGCAGTACGGAGCGTTTTGGCGCTCTCCGATTCATGCAGGAAGTTCTGGATAAAAAAGTTCTGCACACTTTCGTCAAACACGTTCGAGTGCGTGTCGAACAGCTTTTGCATCGTGTTTTCAACGCTCCGTTCGTCCCAGGTGGAGGTGACAGTCTCAAGAGCGCGAGAGAAACCGTGGAGGATCTGGTCGAGCTCCTCTCGTTGCACTGCAGCCTCGCCACGTTCACTGTCACAAGCGTGTTGCTGAAGTTTACGTAGCAGTGCCACCGCGTACATTATAGACTCGTCGCTCGTGTGGTCGCTCGATGTTTCCAAAGCACTCGTCGCACGTCTCGGCGGCACGGGTCTGGTGCTGCTTGGAGCACTCGACGCCTTCGTACTGTTTTCATCGTCTTCAACAACTTCAACATCTTCAACTTCGAGATCGTGGGCGACTGCAACTGTAGCTCTTCTTTCGACCACCGAGGTGCCTACGAGACGCGGAGAAGACTGCGATATTCTCAGCTGCGACACCAGAGGTGTCATGCGTAGTTGATGCGCTGAGGACAAGGAGCATGGGTCGCTTGTCGGATCTCCCTTGTGCAGCGCAGACTCGTCATGTTGCGCGGAACGCGGCAATGGCAATGTCGATAAGCTAGCAGAAAGGGCGGCGTCGCCTCCGCTAGTCGCCACGGCTGCTGTTGCCGATAGTTCAGTTGAGCTACTTCCTGCATTCGAATTCATACTACCCCGCGCTAGTGCTGCCATCGAGTGCAGCAGCATGCGGCGCTTGTGTTCCTTGGCTTCCACCCCCATGTGAGAAACCCCGCACGTGTATTCTTGGCTGCAAGCAGTCGAGACTCGTGCGTCGCGACTCGTCAGCCCAAGTTCGTTTCTTGTCGGCGTCTTGCAATCCTGCGCTTCGACCACACAGGACGCACACGCACACTGCTGTCCTTGGCCCTGCCCCGCTCTAGTTTTTTCAGCAGTCACTAGCGTGGTGCGTGATGGGAGGCAGGGCTCTTGACGCGCTAAGATTTTACTCGTCTCTAGACCCTCCTCCCTCCCTTGGCTGGGTGTGACAGCCACACACACACTTCTGATTAGAGCCTATTTTAAACTGAGCAATGAAGTTGAAGGCAAAACTGCCCGCCCGCAACACGCAGCTTTAGCTAAGGACAACGGAGTGTCTGGTGAGCGGTCACGTGCCATTTTCGGAAGTGACTCTACCCGAGTTTTTGTGCGTAGGTTCTTAGTGACATCGTGGTTTCCGTAACGTTTGCTGCAGATCCTGTCTTGATCTTAAAGCCCTGACAAAAAGGTCCTTCCTGCAATACTTCTTCACACTCATAAACCTGTAGTAGGAGTGTCAGCATTCCCTCGCTAGCAGCTCAAATGGACAACACAGACGATGCAAAACCGGAAAACGTAGACACGTGTGACGCGCCCAGGACTTGAAGCAGTGATTGGCGATCCTTTATTTTCGAATAATGAAGCCACGGAGACGAAGCAGCCCAAGCTAACGGGCGAAGAGCAGTGCTGCCCTCAGCATGGTTTATTTAACCTGCACAAAAGCAATCGGCAAGTGGACATCACACCACTGCCGAAGGTGTCCGTGCCCGTCCCAACCCTGTAAAAAGTCGAAATCATCATCTCCGCAATCCTGGAAGTATGTCGGTTCTTGGTACTTAAGCGTGGTGAGCGGCCTTAGCACGAAGAGCGGCGTAGTACGCCTTCATCTCCTCGCGCTTCTGCAGAGCACGACGGTGCGTGCCGAGCTATAGTGATCGCAATTGAATTTTGAATGACAACGCACAAAAACCATCACAAAATGTCGTTAGTTTTCTTCGCCCCGAATAAAATGGCTTCACCCCAATTAAAAGGTAATTGAGACAGTTGCTGAAACTGCCGTATACGTACGCGCTTCTTGGAGAACTTGTAGATACGCTTCTCAGCCGACGAACCGCCACTCTTGATCATGTCAAGGATGCGCTTCTCGTACGGCATCAATCCGACCACCTCACGCACGATCTCGCGCACAAGTTTAGTCTTCTTGCCAGCGCGCTACGCACATCAAGAAACCAACCACAATAACAGACTGTTAGTCTGCGGTCCCTTCATTCAGTTGCTTAACATTTGCTGTCTGTTTGTCCGGTGGCGGCTTATTGGGCCGTCCCCAAGACTTCCTCGCTGATGCTGCTCCTGAAAAAATACTGATGCACTTACTCCCTTGCGGGAAGCGGGGCGAGGAGCCACCTGCTTTTTGTTGACAGGGAAACCCTTAGTCAGGCCCACGGCGATTCCAGTAGAGGACATGGTGATGTTTTGCTTCCGAAAGACTTAAAGAACCGAATGAAGTGCTCCTTGCTGTTTTCAGGCAAAGGAACATCCAGCTGGGCCATTGGTTGGTCGCCGCGCTGGACATTCGCCTAGATGCGAATCTAGCGGTTCAGATGACCGGTCCGGACCGCAAGACAAAAGGTTTAGGGCAGCTATCCGGATAATTGGTGTAGACAACCTGTTACAAAATTCTGTAGTAGTAGTAGTTTTGCTTTTAGTTATTAGGTACAGTCCTACTGTACAGTAGTATTACTACTAGCTGTATTACTACAGTGCAACCGTATTAAGCATGACGAGAGCCATAATAATGTTAGCCACTTGCTTGCAAGTTTCCTTTGATGTCATTCGGAGGACACGTACATGTATGTACATGGAGTTAATAAGTGCACTGAGATTAACGTTATATATAGCGGACTACTGTCGAATGCGGTGCTCTGTTGCGGTACTCCACCTGACGACCTTAGAGCTTGTTCTTGTAGAACACGATCTTGCCGTCGTCCTCGACGAACTTGCAGTGAATGTAAGATCGCCACAGAGCGATCGGCACGGGCGTGTCGTCCTTGAGGTAGAACTTGCCCAGCAGCGGCTTGATAGCGTTCGTGGCTTCCTCGCAGTGGTAGAACGGCATCTTGGAGAAGATGTGGTGGCATATGTGCGTGTCCACGATGCGGTGCACTACCGAATCGAGGTACGGGCCGAACGAGCGGTCCACCGTGCAGAGCGCACCGCGCAGCCAGTTCCACTCGCTGTCTCGGAAGTGCGGGATGTAGGTGTCCGTGTGCTGCAGGTACGTGATGAGCACAAGGTAGGCGTTCACGATGAAGTAGGGCACGACGTAGAACTTGAGCATTGTGTAGAACGAGAAGGTGTACACCAGTGTGACCAGAGCGCCGATCATAAGCACGAGGAAGATGTCGCTCAGCACGATCATCCAACGCTCGCGGTCTGAGTAGATGGACGAGTACGGGTTGAAGTGGCTGCGCGACTTGCCCAAGTACTTGCTCGGACCCGTCGCGTTGAAGAAGAGGTAGCCAGGCATCCAGCCCACTACCAGCATGTACACGATGCGGTAGAGCTGGTAGAGTGGTGAGTCCTCGAGCGTCTCGTCCCACGAGCTGGCGATCACAGAGCGAGTGACAGGTACGAACACCTCGTCGTTCTCGCAGCTGCCTGTATTGGAGTGGTGCTTGCGGTGTGAAATACGCCAACTGTGGTACGGCACAAGCAACGTCGAGTGCAGCACGAGACCGATCATGTTGTTCACCACCTCGCTGGAGCAGTAGGCCTGGTGGCCGCACTCATGCGCCACAACCCAGATGCCAGTAAGGTAGCTCCCCTGGAAGAACCAGTACACAGGCCAGAGCAGGTAGGCGAAGCTCCCAGTCTGGTCGATGTAGGTGGCCGCGTAGAAGAGAGCAGCACACGTGAGAAGGTTCTTTATCATGTAGTACGTGGACGTAATGAAGGAGCGCTCGAAGCAGTGCTTGGGAATGGCAGCGCGAAGATCCCGCAGAGAGAAATGCGGCAGATCCAGCGGCAGCGGCGCCGGAGCTCCTTCCACGTGCTTGTAGCCGGCCTCGGCAAGCTCACGTTGCTTGGCTTCGGACAGCGTAGCCACCTTGGCGGCTGACTCTGCCTCCGGGTTAAGGATCGCCATGGTCAAAAAGAAGAGAACGCGATGAACTTGGTTGCAGGCGGAAAATCTGTTAATGGTGAGGGCACCAGTATTAATACATCGAGGAGATGGCGGAATTCAAGGTGATCGAAGATGAGGAAAAGACGCATAGATCCGGCGGTGAGTGGCCGGCAGACCCAGTTGTATGAAGCAACGCATGGGCACGTCAGGTGCAGCGCTGCCGTGATGTCATTCGATGTGTTGCGTCAGACTGTCCCGACGGGCGTGCAATGCTGAAATGGACTGTTTGCCCAGTTTTTGCCCGGCCATCGCGGAAGCAGTGGCTGCGCTGCTTTGGAGACTATAAATTAAAGTCTACATGTATAATAGCTCTGTTACATGTATTAATACATGTAATATAATATTAATACATGTACTATTAAATACCCGGTGTTGGATTGTGCATCGAGGCCTGGCGCAGATTGAAGAAAGCTGGAACAGCAAAGAAACCAGATCGTTATATGAGAGAGGGCAAAGACCCGTGAGTGTTGGTCAATGCTCAGGAAGCAGAGCAACTGACACAAAGTAATTCAGTCTTCATATTTTCCCTTTGCAAACAAGGAGTTTGTTTGTTACTTCGCGGGGCGTGTCTAAGAGCCACAACTCCCAACAGGGTTATGAGCCCAAGTGGTGACAGCGCAGGCATGAGTAAGCCGATGAAGTACACCAGCGAAGGGGTGCCGAAGAATTGGCAAGGCAAGGATTGGCAGACATACAAATGGGTCATGATGAACGTTTTCAAGGAGGATGACTTGAAGGACATTGCTGATGGAACTTTAACCAAGGACATGCTCTCCACAGCGAGTGCAGAGGACCAGGAGAAGTTCAATAAGAAGCAAATCAAGATCATGCGGATGATTGGTACGTCTGTTCCGCCGGAAATTCTTCAGCAGATTCGCGACAAGGAGACCGGATCGGAAATGTGGGCAGAGCTCTGTAATCTGTTTGAAGGAAAGCAGAATGAAGCTATCAAGGCCTACACGATTCGTCGCTTGGAGAATGATCTCTGGGATAAGAAGCTCGCTTCTGGAGGAGATGCAAATCTCCATCTTTGCAAGATGTTCAGCATCAAATCGGAGTTGGTAGGCTTACAGCATACTATTGAAGACAGTACAATGGTGGATATGTTGTTGGAAAGTTTGCCAGATTTGACCGAGTTTGAATGTCTGAAATCTTCGATCCGCTATGGCGCGGACCCAAGTGTGTATACACCGGTACGGGTTCGTGAATTAATTCTTGCAGCCGCTGCTCGACAGAAGGAATTCAGAGGCAAGCGTCAAGGAAAGCAAGGAGGGCATAAAAGCGGAGGTGATAAAAGTGGTGATCCGGAAAAAGGCGGAAATGGTAATCAGCAGAACAAGTCAAGTAAACAGCGAAAAGCCAGGCTGTGCTTTGTCTGCGGGAGTGATAGCCATATTAAGGCCAAGTGTCCGGAGCGTGAAGAAAAGAACAGCGGTGCTGGAGACAGAGAGACCAAGCGAAAACCGCAGGGAAACTTGACGATCAGTCAAGAGAACAAGAGTGGTGCTGGGAGTAACAGTGAACCCAAGCGGAAACCACAAGGAAATCTGACACTCAGCCAAGAAGGAAATGGACTGTCACAGATACTGCATGAACCTGCAGATCAGGGGATAGTGACGGGATTAATAACGGCTGAGGCTCATCATGAGCACGAGACTCTGCACGAGACTCTGTACGATGCTCAGGGAACAGGAGTAGATGAGAAGCTTCTGGAAGTTAATGATCAAGTACCTGTCGATGAAAACTTTAGCGGTTGGTGGTATTTTGACACAGCTTCGAACTCTCACGTGGTCGGAGATCCTCGTATTTTGTGAGCTACACTGAGGACGCGTCACAACTACGCAGCATTCGAGGTATTTCCCCAAACATTGCAGCTCGTATCGCTGGGATGGGGACTGTTGCCTTAACTACTGAGGTGAATGGAGAGCAGACAGTAATGTGTCTGGATGATGTTTTCTACATACCCGGAGCTGAATTCGGGCTCTTCTCTCCCGGACTTGCTCATGAACAAGGGTTTGACTTTACGTTCAATCATGATACTCAGGACTTTACTATTCTTTGGGAAGGGAAATCAGTAGCAGTGGCGAAGCCTCAGGAAGCAACTTGGGGGTTTCTGGGACTACATCCAGGTCAAACAAGCGTGAAAGAGCCTGTTAATCGGCGTCCAATGGTAAATTTTACTATAGCCGAAGGGGTTGGCACTTTGGCATTGTGGCACGAGCGTATGTGTCATACTTGTCCACAATATCTGAAGACGATGGTAGACCGGGGATTAGTGAGAGGCATGATGTTGACTCAGCGTCACCAGCAGATCTGTGACGCATGTCATGTGGGGAAGCAAAAGAAGAAGGCTCATCGCAAGAAGATGGACAGGGCAACAAAGTGGCCGAATCAAATTGTGTACGCTGACCTTCTCATTCCAAGTAAAGATAATCGGACTCGGTATGAAGCCGTACTAGTGGTTATGGATGGATACTCCAGATTCGTGAGAGTGTTTCTGTTGACTAGTAAAGAGAGTTCAGTTGTAAACAAGCACTTGCAACAGTACATACTCTGGGCCGAGCGTCAAGCAGGACGAAATGTGAACGGGGCTGTCTACAAAGTGAAGCAAGTACTGACAGACAAAGGTGGGGAGTTCATCAACAAAGGTATGGAAAACTGGTACGCACGGAGAGGAATTGAGCACATCCGAGTGGGTCCAAAAAGTTCTCAATTGAACTTGTGCGAACGAACGCATCAGTCATTGGTGGACATGATGAAAACCACGATGGTACATGCAGGCTTTCCTCGGAGTCTATGGCCGGAAGCACTACGAAATGCTGTATACGTCAAGAATAGGGTATACAACCGTGGCACTCAAGGAATTCCTTATGAGATGATATTTGGAATGAAACCTGACGTGCATCACATTAGGAAGTTTGGATCTCTAGCATATGTTCATGTTCCTGTGACGTCTGGAAGACGCAAGCATGATAACAACGCCAAGATTGGCTTTCTACTCGGTTACGAAGAGGACGTGGTAGGCTGCAAAGTTTACTTTCCTGATGAGCACACCGCCAGGTTTGTATCTGATCTACGGGTTGCTGAAGATGTAGTTTACAAAGACCGTCACGAAGGTGCTGTAGATGAGGAGGACCTCGAGTCACTGCACTTTACCCGACGTGATGACCAGGATGTGGACTATGACAACCGTTTGAACCACGAAATGGCTACATCCAAGACAATGGAGCTGGTTAGCGAGCCAAATTCTGAGTTGTCTATTGGACTCGTGGGAGGCGAGGTGGATGTAGCGGCTTACCAGTGAGCACGAGAAGGGCGTTCAGATGGCAGATGCTGTCTCAAATGCTCTAAATAGTCGACCCAGATGAGATTGAAAGCACGAGAGAGCTCGGTAGAGCGGATCTACACGAGAGTGATGGCCATGGCGGAGTATCACTCACTGATGCAGCTTCGAGCGCATGTAATCTTACTACTAGCATTCCAAGGAGCGAGATTAAGGCAAGTAGCTCAGGAAATCTCTGTGTTGGTGGCAAGCAGTCGGAATCATCTACGCAAAATGATGGTGCTGACGTTGAGTCTGTGGTGGGAACACGGGGCTCATCGCTGGATGGTAATGAGGTGGATGATGACGACGAAGCAGGATTACCGACAGACGACGACATTACTGTAGCAAGTGTGTTCTCATTTGATGAGAAGACTATCTCAATGGAGAATAACAACTCGTCGAGTGGTGTGGGGCTTGAAGAAGACCCAGAGAGTACTGATGAACATCAAAGTGCGGTTGTGGACAATAATAACGCGCAGAAGATGGACGCTAGTGTTTGTCTTGATCCAGTTGTCATTCGAGAAACTGGAAAGCGTACCCACCGCGATGAAACTCAGTCGGAAGAGGCTCGTGTGGAACACGAGGCCGCAAAGCCAGATACCAAGAGAACTCGAACAGGACTTCGAGAGGTACAAGAAAGACGTCAACCTCGACGCTTTGATGACTTTGTGATGAATGCAGCGACTTCACGGGTTCTGGATGAGCATGGCCGGCCTATTCGTGCTTGTGAGGTGAAGATTCCTCGTAACAGACGTGAGGCACTGCGATCCAGGTTTGTTAACTATTGGATGGAAGCAGAAATGGTAGAGATCGCTGCACTGAAGGCAAAGAAGGTCATCCAAGAAATACCGGATGAGGACATGCCCAAAGATGCGAAGCCTGTAAGTACAATGTGGGTCTATGCCTTGAAGTCGGATTATCAGGGTTACGTGATAAGATTCAAGGCTCGGATAGTGGCGTTGGGGAATCACCAGCGACCAGGCATTGACTTCAAGGAAACGTTTGCCCCTGTGGCAAGAATGGCTTCGTTTAGACTGTTGTTGGGACTGGCGGCATTACTGGGATTAGAGGTATACGGAGGAGACGTGAATACCGCTTACCTCAATGCATGGCTAGGCATACGACAATATCTACACTCCATCAACGGATATCCGTGCAGAGTGAGTGGCCATTCTTACGTGGTACTCAAGGCTTTGTATGGATTAAGACAATCGGGTCGAGAATGGAATTCAGAACTAAATGATTGGTTCATTCAGCGTGGATACCAAAGATCGTTGACGGAGCCGTGCCTGTACTACCTGTTTGATGGTGGCACGATGGTATACGTGCTAGTATACGTCGATGATATCTTGGTTGCAACAAACAGCAAGGAGTACAAAGATCAGTTGTTCATGGACTTGGACAACACGTACGGTCTCAAGGACCAAGGGCTGTTAACACAGTACTTAGGTGTGGAAGTGACTCACACGTCAGAGTACATTATGATCAGTCAAGGCAAGTACGCAAGAGAGATTCTTGGCAAGCTGGGATTTGAAAATGCACATGCAGTAGGAAATCCAATGGAAGTGAATTCACGGCTCACACCTCTTGGAGAGAAGGAGAGTGCAGACGGCAGCTTTCCGTACCGTGAAGCCATTGGTATGCTCATGTACCTGGCTACAAGTACCAGACCGGACTTGGCTTATTCATTAGGCCAACTGAGTCGCTTCGTAGCGAACCCATCGGCGAAGCATATTGGAACGGTAAAGAGAGTGCTGCGCTACTTGGCCGGGACCTTGGATTATGGAATCAAGTACGAGAAAAAGAAGAACAACTCGAAGGAGTTGGTGTTGCAGGGTTACTGTGACAGTGATTGGGCTAATGACCCAGATCAAAGGAAGAGCACTACTGGTTTCGTGTTTATGCTGGCAGGCGGAGCTGTAGCATGGATGTCACGAAGACAATCCGTCATCGCTTTGTCGACCGCGGAGGCGGAGTACATTGCAGCGTGTGAAGCCACAATGGAGGCAGTTGCTGGGAAAAATGTTTTGCAAGAGATGTTACCGCAGCACGATGTGAAATTGCGTATAGGAATTGACAGTCAAGCTGCTCACGTGATGGCAACTAATCCTACCTACAGCAGACGTACGCGCCACATTGAATTACGGTGGCATTACGTACGAGAGCAAGTGCAAAAAGGCACTGTGGAGTTGCATAAGGTGAGGGGGGAAACAAACCCTGCCGACACGTTCACCAAGCCTCTGGACAAGAAGCGACTGAAAGGATTGTTGCTGATTGCAGGCATTGGAGCAGAAAAGTAGTCGAAGACCAGTATTCGACATCGAAGACCGATCTTCGAGAAGGGCGTGTTGGATTGTGCATCGAGGCCTGGCGCAGATTGAAGAAAGCTGGAACAGCAAAGAAACCAGATCGTTATATGAGAGAGGGCAAAGACCCGTGAGTGTTGGTCAATGCTCAGGAAGCAGAGCAACTGACACAAAGTAATTCAGTCTTCATATTTTCCCTTTGCAAACAAGGAGTTTGTTTGTTACTTCGCGGGGCGTGTCTAAGAGCCACAACTCCCAACAACGCATGGGCACGTCAGGTGCAGCGCTGCCGTGATGTCATTCGATGTGTTGCGTCAGACTGTCCCGACGGGCGTGCAATGCTGAAATGGACTGTTTGCCCAGTTTTTGCCCGGCCATCGCGGAAGCAGTGGCTGCGCTGCTTTGGAGACTATAAATTAAAGTCTACATGTATAATAGCTCTGTTACATGTATTAATACATGTAATATAATATTAATACATGTACTATTAAATACCCGGCACTGACCGCCGCTACGCGGCGTTATTGCTTCGGCGGGACTATTTTACCGGTACATGTACTATTACATAAGCCTAATTACATGTAACCGGATCACACTTTGGACTACCAAGCCCGTTTCAATTCGTTTTAGCTCTAATTACGGTTGAGTGCCTCCTTTTCCCAACAAACCCAACAAACCCAAACAAAGTAGTCCTTCATGATCTCGCCATTCTGAATACTGATGAGCTCCTTGATCAAGCTCTTGTGTACTCACTGATCGACGCCAAGTCTTCTGCTGTTTCAGCTTGGAATCAACAGATAATCCGTCTGCAAAATGAAAAAAAAAAAGAAGAAAAAACACCGGGGCACCTACTCCACCAGATACTGGCTTATATATTACTGCGGTTCTTCGATTTGTTCGAAGGAATACTCGGTAACACCTGTGCTCTAGTGAGCCTAACAAACTTCAAAGCAGAGTAAAATCGCGGTGAAAGGCGCAAAATCGGTGGAGCAAAATCACCCATTTGCTAAAACACCATTCTTGCGCGCTTACGAAGGCATCTGTATTCGAATTTCTACGCGAAACTATCGGGCTCAAATATAAAAAAAAAATAGGAGACTCCGACTTGTTGTCAGTTTCTGTTGGTACACCTAATCGTAGCGTGAAGACCTTATCTAACAGTTTTTACAATTATAGTATAAAAATGTCGTTAGTTGGAAGTAATTAAAACAGCCATTTTGAAACAAAAAGTATTTGTTAAATACTGAACTCTAAGTAAGTTGCGCAATATTTCTACAAAATTCTGAGCCTTCATCATGTTGTCTGAACACTATTACGAAACATTGTTTTTTTGGTCAAATGTGATGATAAGCAGCTACCAAATATAAAAGTATAACGGTTTTACTACATAGAATCAAACTCTATGTAAGATACTGTTCACAAGTGTTGTTGATGCTGTTGTTTTACTATCCAAATTTAAGCTCTATACTACGTAGTTTTGTTCTTCCCAACAATCCAGTAAAATGAGGCGACACACATTACTACACGGTACAGTGTTTTTTTAAAACTATTTTTCAATAAGAAAAGTACGACATTGCTTTTTATATTTTAATGAGTTCCATAAGAAACAAAAGAGAAAAAATTAAAAATAACATCTTTTAAGCCAAAATATCAAAAGAGAAGGTGTCATAAGTAACAAAACATTGAACCAATGGCAATACTTTATATTGTTCCCATTTAGGTATGTCTAGCTTCACCTTCTTCGAGCGACGACGTCGCTGCATGCCGTAGCGGCGGCGCTCGTGCTCCGTGCAGAGTAGTGGTGGCGATGGGGGCGGCGGGGGCGGCGTGCTCATAGCAATGGCCAGTGCGAGCATCCGCTACTCGCGCTGGGCGGTGCTGGGGCTAGGGCTGCATCGGAGCGGTGCCAATAGGCCCGTGCGTCGGGCCCATTGGTACACGTAATGCAGCGACGACCCCCGGCTCTGGCAGAGCCAGCTGCAAAAGCGTCCCACGAAATAAACGCTTTGCAGCAGGCACACTGCTGGAGCGCCAGTCCAAGATCGTCAAGGTCAATGGGCGGCGTCACCACACGGGCCTCGCAGGTTGGGCAGTCAAGCGGCTCCATTTTATCAAATGTTAGGTGAAGATTTGATAAAACATTTTAACCAATAAAGACATTTTTTTCTTACCCAATTACAACCAAGACATCTCAGCCATCCATTAAGGCCACATTTCGACCAATTCGGAGCCGCCTTCGCTCCGCTCGGCAGCCAATGAGAAAGCTAAACAAATATGAGCCTTTCGTGTGACGGACACCGTGCTTGATAGTTTAGGATACTGTAGTTGTGCTCCTAAGTATGTATCCACACGGAGCTGGATGGAGGTAAGTGAGCAGAGGGCTCTTTAACATGCCCGTGTAAATCCGGTTTAACATTTCCCAAGAAACACAAATCTGAAAGACGCCTGAAGGTGGTGAAGCTCTCTCAGACGTGAATGGGAGTAATGGAGGTGTGTAGCCTATTAATAAGTCTTTGAGTAGAGGAACTCGCTTGCATTGCACGGCACAGCTTTTTCAATGGGAAGCATAAACTATTCAAAAGAGCAGCTTTGTTTCATCTGCTACATATTGTGAGATGCAGCATGGGCCTTAATTACACTGTAATATCAACTCACGTGAATAGATTCGCAACGATGACTAATAACTTATCAGAATTTGACTTGAGTGCTATTATATTATTGTCTGCGTCAGTGTCAGTGGCTACAAGCGCCCACATTCATCAGCGCTCTCCTGAACAATGAGGTGGCCCTAAGGCGCCAAAGTTGAACAGTTTAAATGATCTTCGAGTGTCCATTCTGCTGGTGAAGAAATGCTCGGTGTACCCGGACTAAGCGGGAAAATTGGACGCAGCATCCAATTTACAGCGGGGTACTCGCGCTACATGTATACTAATGCCGTGCGTCGCCAGGGAAGCTCCGGATATTATCGAAAGTATTACGCTTTCTCACTGTTGAAGTCATCCTCCAAAGTCCTACTTAATATACGTTCATTTCAAAAAGATACTGTAGGAACTTGGGAGCTTTGTGCCCATCATATTTTTTTCAGAAAAATAGAAGTCCAACCAGCTGTAAATTGACTATACTAAGAACAAGACAATATTGTGCGAAGTAGCAGCTGCCGTTACGATATCACTGCACGCGACGTGATTTGCTGGGTCAGCTGAGTGGCTCAGCACTATCAGCGCTGACCCCCTCCTGCAGCTGAGTTTGTATGCTTCGTTTGCCGTCCCCTGAAGGCATCAGGGTGCCGTTCCTCCAGCACGCATGCCAGATATCGAAGCAGGTGCGTGCTTTGCCGTCGTATGTGTGCTTGACCTTGTTGCACAAGAAGACCCTGGACAACTTGTCTTTCAGGCAGCTCGTCAGCAGTAGAAAGCTGTATCGCCGCCACTAAAATTTTCATCCAAGACCGAGCATACTTTGCAAGCTCGTTGGCGTCGCTTCGTACTGCCATCCGTATTGCCTTTCCTCATTTCCCTGGTAAGAACAGAAGTATGCACCATAGCTCCCGTGGTGGGGTTTTGCTTGGTTGAAGTTCCCGGGAGGCCCTGGGCGTTGCGCACAGTACCCCAGTCGGATTTATCGAGCTGGCACAGCTCGAGATGGAGCTTGTCTATGAATAGAAGTGCCTTAGCCCAGATAAGATTCCAACCTGTGTGAGACATGATAACAATTGATGCTAGTTGTTTCATACATAATAAGATAACTTTGAAGCCAAAATAAAACGAACACACCCGAAGGTGTGTTTGACACTTACTGGAAACAGTAGGTCGTGTGGGATCAGCTCAGCATAAACAGCTTTGTACCTCATTTATGAGTTTTATCCATCATATAAACTCTAATTCGATTAGAAGTTGACCGCGACGGAAGAATGGCCTCGTAGAAAGCCATGATCGGAGGGGGTACGTATCCGGCTTGGAAACTTTCTTGCAAACTTTGATCACGGGTCGGAGTCTCCACGCTCCGTCGGTGGTGGTACACGGATCTGCGTTGCTGCTTAAGTGCAGGTTGCGTGAGACGTGTGCAAGTCGATCTCTCGACATGAATCCCCCGAACCACCCGCGCGGAATAGCGCCGTGCTCTGCCATCTTCCAGCGATGTTGCAATTTTGGCTAGAAAATCCTCAACGAACAGCATTTCAGGCTGGATCACAACTTCTTCGTCCTGACCGGCAAGATCAGTCGGGCCATCGAGCTCGCCACCGGTTATATCATCAAGCCCGTCGTCGAGGGTAACCAGCTCGTCACACGCTTCGTCCAAGTCTGTGAAAGTACTTTCTAGCATAATTACATTGTAATATACACGATAAGTATCAAAATTTATGTTTCGTATCATGTATATACAAGATAATACCAGCCATGCTTATTTTTATCCCTCTCACTTCTCCATCATGTCCATTCAGCACAGATTGACCCAGCGCGGACTCACCAGTAGCATCGACTTCTTCTTCCGAAACAACATCATCAAACGTGGCAGCCAAATTACGCGTGGTGGCTCCAATGTCAATGTCTAACACAAGCGCATAATACACAGTCAGCATAACTCAGCCTTATTCCACACAATTGCCTTGAGATTTCACCATTCTAAGGTTGAACGCCAGGCATGTTAAAATGTTTGGTCACGCTTTCGGGCACACTCAATGCATCTCCGACACTCGCAGCAGTTGCCGTCTCTACCCCGGCAGCGTGAACGGTCATAAAATCACTCACGTTGATATGGATTCGTTGGGCTGCTGTCCCAACTTCTGCATCCTCAGCCGCATCTGATGCAATCTCCGCATGCACAGGTACAGTCCGTTCAACCCCAGCGGTCACAGGCCCGGACGCAGATGTCGGGTCTGCTGAACCAGATTCGCATAAACATATATTAAGTTGTATTAGACATGATATTTGATCAGGACACATTAAGAAATACATGATAGAGAGTTACCAACCGTCTTCGTTTGGCGAGCTCACAGGACGTGGTACTCTTGCCGATAGTCGGTTCTTTCGCCTCTTCTGTTGGCGACGTAGCTCCGCTAGGAAAGAAATAGTGTCAGGAGAGAACAATAACAGGTAGCACATCGTAAGCGTACCACGATCTTGACGATCAAGATACTTTATAAGATCCTCCTCACTGACAAAGTTATCTTCGCCTCGCACGCCATTCCTCGTCTTGCCGGACTGGATCTAGGTGTGGAGATTGGACAGTCCGGTTAGACGCTTGGACATCCAGCCAATCTTCTTAAGATCAGCCCAATGGGCGCGGAGAGCCATTTTCACTACTTCTGGCGAATCTCAAAATGAGGGAGAACCTGTGGACTCGATTTTGAGCCTCCAATTGTTTATACGATCAGATCTGCAACATGAAGATAGCCGCTCTAATTTTATATTTTGGAAATTTCAAGCTAGCCCCGTCTTTAATTCACGAAGTTGGTCTATACATACTCTAACCTTCCCCTAGATGACTTTAAAAATGTACTATCTCATGCTCAATTTAAGTCTAGTCCTTATCGTGTCTCACGGGACAAGATAAGGATTTCTGTATCATGTGTAATACAGGCATTCGGGTTTGGGTATTAAGCTAAAAAATGTATATTTTTAGTATATATATTATGAGGATCCCTGTTGACCTGTATCAAAAGCGTGATCATATTTCATATCTGATTACTATTGTCACGTTCAGCTCCCTTCACAGGCCCATAGATTAGTTACCAGCCTGTTTGCTTGAGCAAAAGGCATCCGGAGCTATTCAGCTGCCAAATACCAGATTTGGCTGGAATCTGCTGATAGTCCTGGCAGCGCGTATTTGACCTCCCCAATGGTATCGACAGAGAGGGTGAGTGAATCACGGGGGCTGTTATCAACAGAGTGGCTTGGCTTTTCACAGAGCGTACAAATACAAAATCCTTGCTTCTGGGTTCATTTGACACTATGCCACGTTGCCTTATTTTAATACTGCTCAAATGGTTGTGTTACACGTCGAGAAGATGGGCGTCCTATCCATAAACAAGTTTGACCTCATGAACGATGTCTCCGCGCGCTCCAGCTTCGTTTGATAGACATTAGCCCCATTCACGGCCATTGCTGCTTTTTGCTGCTTTTTTTTAAGGGAGACGGCAGTAAGCATGGGAAACGATTTAGACGGGCTGCCAATATCGTGCATCATTGTTGGTTAGGTTGTGACAGCACTAGGACAAAACTTCTTCCAACAACCCAATTGGTGCATACATCCAGGCTCTGCGCCTATGTAGCGCATTGCGCTTCCTTCTCCACGATACAGTGCTTGCGTAATCTCCCTTCGACCCTTCGGAAACTTTCTTCTAAGAAAGGTCTGCAGAATGCAGCAACAAGAGTACATGTACTACATTCTAGTATGATATCAATATTCATACTACTATCGTAGTTTAGACAGGCCAAAAATAAGTAAGAGTACAGATCTGATTCTCTATAGTAATATGAGAGGACTATACTAAAATACAAGAAACAGACGATCCTCTCTGTGTTGATAGCGTCGGGAGGCCGCCTTTTATTACTATATAGAGGGATCATTATTCGGAGTTGTACCTCGTATACGGTACATACGACAGGTGGCCGTCGTTGCGGTTCGATAGCCGCGACGTGGATCGATTTGCGCCGGCTTGCGGTGGCATTTATCAATGGGTCGTCCCTGAAGCCTCAAAAACGCAATTGCTCATTTGCACAAAACCAGTGAATTGGTAATTAGTGCAGTGCGACTCAAAGCATCAAGAAACATAACGAAACGACTAGGTGTCAAACGACTTGTAGTGTTCCTGTCCACTCACCATCGCATCAATACTTCTTCAGTTTCGACTCTCATCAAAATGCACCATGATGCGCTGCTTGCTTTCTGGCAGCGCCATCGCCGCCGCCACCGTCGCCGATGCAAACCTCGCTCATTTTGTTTTGCTGAGACTCTCGATGCAGTAGCCCCTCGCCGCTGCGATCGCTGCGTGACTCGAGCGGCACTCGTCTCTCCGTCGATGTCTCCCTTTGTCAAGCTTTACGAATCACGCAATGGCCAGCCGTTAATCACGCTGACTGTTTTTTTTACTACTTACTCAGGCGATATACTCCTCTCTACGAAGCCTACTCACCATATTCAACTGATGGCTGTGATCGCCAAATTCAACACAATTCTCGTCTTGGTGGGAGGCCACGTAGCATGACGGCTCAGATGATTCTCGCTTCAGCTTTGGCATGGCCCCGCAGTCGCGAATCGAAATAACCTTTACGTACGCTGTTTGATATCATGGACACTGCTTGCTCCATTTTCCTGCGATTTGGTAGGAGAATACTACTAATATTACTTGCTGTTGATGAATATCTCGCGGTGCGCCTACCGTCGAGTGACGAGATTACAAGTTCTAAAGTGCAATTTTAACAAACTATTCTGCTCTACCTGATGTTTTTGCAGTGGCGGATGGGCTAAAGCAGCATTTACAGCAAGCAAGCGACCCCGTAGTACCAAAAGCGTTCTATAATGACTGGACACGGTGCCACTACGCTAGCAAAGTACTGGTGTTTACGCCGAATGGGGTCATTACCATGTGCGCCATCAACGCACCAGGATCCATGCACGACCCATTAATAGCTGAGTGGGGTGGAGTGTACAAAAGGCTGGAGCAAGTGAATGAGGCGACAGGGGTGCGATGCGATGTGGATTCGGCTTTCTTCAAAAGTAATTATCCCTTTCTTATCAAGTCGTCCCAAAATCACCTTTCAAACAATCCATCTCCAAGCGAGCTACGCTATCTACATCAGGCAACGTCAGTGTGACAGTCTGCGGAGTGGGGGATGCGAGCATTCCAAAGCTCATTTCCTCGGATAAATATATCAGCCGCGTTTTGAGCAGAATGGTGAGCGGAAGAAAACCATCTCGTGTATGGTACTGCTGTTCAATTTACGAGCTCGTCTTGTAGGCATCAATCAGATTTTAAATACCTTCATGCCTCTAGAACCAGAAGCTAATCAACTGCTACGATAGCGCTGTTACATTTGTAAAAACATGTTTACTTTTACACTACCTGGACGAATGTTTGAGATTACATATATTTTTAAAATTGTTGGCGCGTGTCAGCTCATATATTGACATGAAAAAAATGATTTGTATACCATGGAATTACTCGACCCTACCGTGACGTGAGCAGGCGTGTTACCTCGACTTAGTAGCAGCAGACTTACCAATTCTTGATGTCGTTTGCGCTCTTCCTCCTGATCTTCTTGTCTCTGACGACGTTCAGCTTCCCGATCTTCCTCTCGACGCAGTCTCTCCTCGTCTCTGCGTACACGATGTTAATGGCGGCCTTCTTCCCAGCGCTTTATCTGCTCATCGGCGCGTTGACGCTCCTGTTCAAGTGAAAGACGCATCATTGCTAAAACCCGAGCGTCGCTGTCGACGTCAACACGGCCAGCCTGACCACGTCTATGGACAATTGGGCGTAGGGCTTCTAGGTGTCCAGGAGTCAATATAGTTGTATATTGACCTGGAGAGAGGGTGAAAAAACCATCTACGCGATCGGTTTTTTAGTCTGGATTTGTGTAGGTGTGTTAACGTCAAAGTCGACTTCAGCCTCACCGGCACCTTCAATGTCGCCCAGGTCAACACGACGAGTCATTTCCATGCGAACGTGCTTCGCATGTAGTACATTAGTCGGTATATTCGGGTAACCTGTCGGAATACGTTTACGATGAAGCTTGCGTTTGAGACTGTTAGTGGTTATATCATCACCAAGATACGCAGTGCTGTGAAGATAAGCAACGTATTCCCATTCATTCCGCGAAATCGGTAAGTGCATCTCTAGGAGATCAAGTAGGCTACTTGTTTCAGCGTCCGAATATCCAGCTCCTCGTTTCCTTGCCTGTCTAGGAGATGTATGCTGCTGACCGTCGGTTTGCTGGGTCGATAGAGTAGGAGGGGTCTCAAGAAGCTGCTCCATCTTCACTTGATGGTGTGCTGAACTGTGATGGTGATTGTAAGTTGTGGAATGAAGTTGTAGGCTTTCAATGGAAACAAACTACATACCTACCTCGCGATCTACATTATTACCTCGCGATCTGATCCAGCATGGACCAATTGTACGTCAGGCTCCGCACGTTACTGAGCCTCGGGCAAAATAGGTCAGCTGGACGAGGCACGCTAAACCAAGTGCATTAGGTCCGTTTGGATTACTAAACCGTAGCGACCCAATTCCCCGCCCAACACTGCAATGCCGCTTACGCCTTCGCCCACTAAACCCCCACCCATGTCGCGAAAGAGGCTGACCAATGCACAGCGACGAAAAATCTGCCGCTACAAAGGCTACAATCTATCATTGAGCCAGGTCCAGCTTGCGTGGTGGGCTCAAAACGTGTTTCAGCTACACCGCGCTTTATCACAGGCAGCGTTTAGCAACACCATGAAGCAGGAAAACCATCTCGAAGACTAATCATTGGAAGCTGTGACTACAAAGTCGCACCGTTCGGTCCGTTTTCCCTACTTAGACTTAGCGCTCGCAAACCGGGTGGGCTGATGCGAGAGTCTATTCGAATCAAGGACGGAGGCTTCGCCCGAATTATAAGGTTAGAGAAGCCGCCCACTTGGTCTAATGGGTGGCTACAGAAGTCAGTTTATCTTAAGTAAGTAAACAATCTCAGCCACTTTATTTGGATGAAATTACTATTGGGGATATCAATACAGAGAGGATTAGGTCTGCACACCGTTCACGCTAATTAGTCGTAGATTTGCACTTTAGTGACATCACAAATTCGGGATACTTGACACATCGCTCCGCTCCCTGCGTTCCAAGCGTGTCTGTCCGTCCGTCTGTCAATAAGTCCGTCCGGTTCCTTTCTTGCTGCTTTTTCCTGCCTTTTCGCATGGCTACACTCGGCCTTTCCAATAGAGTTTTTTCCATCGTACCGACCGCGCCTATCTTTCTGACTCGACCTAACTATGCCAAAATTACAAATATATCCAAATGCGTGACGCAATTAACTCGCGCCTTGATTGGGCAATACCGACCGACCTGCGACACTGACTGGATCTGTCGCACGATCAGACCGTCTGTGACAGACTCTGTCGCCCTCGCGATTGGACGTAAGGTAAACATTTCTGCCGAGCACGAAACGCATCGATTGGTTGCAAACAGCCTGGCGAGCTGCGTTGACAATTCTAAATTTACATTTAGCTACGCAAAACCTGTCGTATGTGCATCAAATCGGGCACGCTAACCACCGAGTTTTGTAGGGGCTTTGCAAATATTATTTTTACTTCTCCTGGCACTCTCCACTGTCAGCGCGCGCGGCCGCACGGTCATTGCGCTATCTGCTCATGCATGCGCGCACGATACATAGTCTTTTAGTCACTTTTATTGCATGTAAAGTATGTACTTGTTTGGAAATCTGATAATAATATATTAAAGATAAGCCGAATATTAATAATATAAAACATTTTACTATTTAGCTTTATAATAAATATCAGCCTTTTATTACCGTGCTATTGGCTAATATTTGGACAAAAGTAATTGGTTAAAACAATATATTTTGCTAACATACGCACAGTTTGCAAAATGGTTGGCCCTACGTGCAAGCAATGCGAGGCGAAGATTGACCCGCTTCTGCAGAACCCGCAGCGGTCTACGACGGATGCCCGGGCGCGCTGCGTCTGCTGCGGGAAGCTGCAGTACGGCTACGCATTCCGTACAATCAGTGGGCGGGTCATCGTGCGGCGCTGTATTGCCTGCGAGAACGGCCCAAAAGCGGTTGAGTTCTGGGAGGAAAAGCTGGTTCGGCCGAAGTGCGCCGCCAGGAAAGCCTGGCGAACATCAAGAAGGCGATGGGTCCTGACTGGTACCCCAAGAAGGAGAAGAAGCGCAGTCGCCTTCGCAAGCTGACCGCCCGAAACGTCAAGTACATCGAGCAAAAGAAGCAGCAGAAGAGAAAGTAATTGGTAAATATACCCTTTTAGGCCCCCATTTTCTTACCTATTTGTGTATTTAGTATACCCGACTACAGTGCGAGGGTTGGAGCCGCACATACGGCAAGCTGCCTTTGGCACTGCCAAACGTTTTGACGCACCTACAGAGCGTAGCACGTTTCTTTTAATAATGAACACGTGCTATCAACTGTGTACCTCTGCAAACTGACCGTCCCTATCCACATAGGCGCCACCGTAGATGAAAAGTACACTCGCTCACTTGGACACACGCAAATCCGTGCTACGTGTACCATCAACGCTTACGGTGTATATTCCAGTAATGTGCGCTCATAAATTAAACTACAGTATGGAGTGAGCTCTACGCGCGACGAATAATTTGCTGTCTACACAGACACGAGCATGTGTGCGGTAATGCAGATCATACAAGTGGATGTGGCAAGTTGATGTGTCTGTACGCAGTACCGTACTTTAGTGCCCTGCTCAAATTGGTCGGGATCAGAGCTGGGGATGGTTATACGTGTACCCGCCGCGCGGTCATCTATCATGTATCTCTACGGTATGGCATGTGCCGAGTTAGTAACGCGCCTGGTCATATAGACTGGTACATCAGAAACGTAAGCACAGTAAGCCAGCACGACGACGCAAATGTACCAAGAGAGCGACAGTGACCCTATACATAGGTTTTGGCTCTCACGAGCGCGTGGTATACACACTCATTAGCGACCTTGCGATATATGCACGGACATATCAAATAGCACGCCGAGTTGATAAGTAGGCAGCAAATGTACTTCATAAAATGTACAGTACATGAGCTACATTTCAGATTAAGTCAAAACACCACTACAATTTGATACTCTGTCTACAGCCATGTGGCTTTGTGTGTTTGGCATACATTTAGGAACCAGTAAATGCCAGTCGGGAAGGACCTACGCCACTCTGTCGGCCCGTATTTATGTACATACGTCAGTAAGTGCGTCAGCTATGCAAGTATGATCAATGCATGCGAAAGATAGTGGAAAGGCCCTTCATTAAAATCATAAAGAGCTCAGCGGGACAATTTCAAGACATAATATTGATGTTTATGGCGACCATCAGCAAATACTACCTGTCCTAAAAGATACTTCGCGCGAGCAGATGACCAAATAGATCGTCGCAATCGATGATATGGTGTCGACTGCCTCACTGCGATGACGTGCAGATGGTAATATGTTTGAGTAGGCGTATTTACTCCAGCTAAACTGGGATTCCTCACCGGTCTATGCCAATGTGGATCATCACTGATACTGACATGTCTTCTGAACAGCATTTGTTAGCTTTGTAGCCACGCACGCCTCCGATTCGTGTCATTTTGGGAGCTATGCGCTCAAACGAGATTATAGACAAAACCTTCCCGGGTAAGATGGTGCTCTTCTTGCAGATCACGTTAAACCCTGGTCGTGTCTACCATAACATGTGAGCACTAAAGATACTGCGTGCGGTGTTGTTTTGGAACGTAATATACGTAGAACACAGTATACATGTACTATATGTTGCTTCGCTTTGAGAAGAAATTCTAAGCCCACCGCAGCGCATCGGAGGTGGTCGGCCCTCTCTACACCAACCAACCATGCCCTAGCGTCCGCGGAGCGGACGCCCAGACCGCTAGTCTTAAACATCTACTGCAGCAACCTGTCTGTCCGTCACACTAAATTGTCGTGCCTGTCACGCTTTTCCGGACAAATCATTGGATAAAATTATTTAAATATTTCTACTGGCTGCCGAGCGCAGCGAAGGTGGCCCCCATTGGCCTAAAAGCTGCCGAGCGCCCAAATCGGCACCTTCTGCAACCCTGCGGGCCTTTCGGCCCGCCCTGAGCCACAATCTGCCAACCTACCGTGCGAGTAGTGAAGCGAGCCCGTGGCGAGCGGAACGGAGGCAAACACAAGGAACGACATTCGTATTTACCCGCCGCGTAGCGGTGGCGCTCGGCTAGTATGATCAAATCCAAAGGAAACCGGTTCTGAGTCTCATCGAGCTCTTTGCTTCAGTATGCTCGGTTTAAAAATAAGACTGGTAGTTTTTACGAAATGGACAGCTGAAATCCCAGTATTGTGAATTTCGCCCATAATTAACAAATGGGTTGGATAAGCCAGGATCAGTGAAATGGTCAGCCAATAGATCGTTGGCCGCAATAGGTCAAACCTTGTCCTTCCTCCCGATTCTAGTCAATCGTCATCACACTCGTCAATCTCTCCATTGTGGCGCACTGATTGCGACAGGATCATCGTTCATCTCCTTCGCGCGTCTTGCAATTTAAAGGGTGGCTATAGGGGTCGAGGCTGCCGAGGTGGCGCGGTTAGCTTGTAGCAAGCCTCAGCAATTGCTCAATTTGGTTAACAAGAGGATTTCGTGGAGATTTGATTGTCGCTGTGCTGTAATTCTTGCTTCTGCGCGTTATTTCGCCGATCTTTGTGGTGGTTTACGTTGGAGTGCTCTTTTGGAGCTAGTTAAGGAGGACAGCTATGGAAGAGGCTGCTACAAAGCAACATGCTCAGCTGATAACGACAAGATTTGGATACGGTAGCGCGTTGTTCCGTGCTTGTGTGACGATCACCACGGCTACAGTATACCCCAGCCAATCGAGGTATTCTTCGTACGGGAGACGTGTTATCAGTAGTGCTCGACGGATGAGGCCGCTGGCTAGACTCGCTAGCGCCTACAGGAGTGTTCTCGCAGCTTGGTGGTGATCGTGCAAGCCGCGAAATGCGTCTCATAGGAGGGATGGCCTCAGAGTTTGATTGCAACTATGTCAGACTTGCCGAGCTCTCCATGGACGTGTGGTTGCCGTCGAGGGCATACTATTCTCGTTCAAGGCAGGGAGATCTTCGTGGCGATGGATTTTCCCTGGTGTTGATCGTGACTGCGTCAACTTTGGAGACCTTCTGGTGAGCGGGGTTCGGGTAGCATAAGGTACTGAGCGTGTACTCGTGCACTTGTTTCGAGCTCGGCCTTGCGAGGTGGCGGTAGGAGCACCGCCGTCGCTTCCTGTTGTGTCTGCCATTGTAGTCCTGAGTGCAAAACGCTTTGTGCACCACGAACGAGCATATACATGTATGATATATTACAGTTTCGATGGTTCGTCGATGGTTTGATGAGAACAGTTATCGAACCG